GGCAGCCTGGCCTCAAACCCCTTTGCTTTGCTCCTATAGTTTGACTTCTAAAAAAAAAAAAAAAAAAAAAAAAGGCTTAGACAATTGAATTCAGGGTAGCTGTGGTTACTTTCCAAAGGGCCAAGGATGGGGAGGCACTATGCTTACAGGGCCTAGAGGAACAGTGGTCTGAGTGGCGGATGCTCAGCCGAATGTGTGACGGGGCCATGAGCCTTGCTTCCACCCAGGGCTGCAGAGGCACCTGGCTCAGAATGCTTGCTGGACTCAAACCTCAGAAAGCCAGCCTTGTCAAAACAAAACAAAACAAAACAAAACAAAACAAAACAAAAAAAAAACAAAACAAAAAAAACCCTGGTAGGAGTAGGGCTGGAGGGGGAGAGAAGGGGAGGGAGAGAGGTAGGAGGGGGGAAGGTTGCAGGTAGTGAAGACAGGGATTTAGCATGGGTTTTCTTATCCTCTTTTTATGCTGTGGGTCCTCTGGAAGCCTGCAGAAGCACACTGGTCTCCTAAGAGTTCCTTTTTCTTTTTTAACAGGATCCCTATCGTTTGGTATATGCAGTGTTGAACTTGAACCCAGGACCTCGTGTATGCTAGTCAGGTACTCTACCAACAGAGCCACACCCCTACCCTCTCAGAATGCTTTTGATTGCATAAGATAAACTACAGAGTCCACCAAGTCAACTGGCGACTTTGAAACAGCTATCCAAGTACTGTTAAAGGAGCAGTGTGGTCAGACATGTGCTTTGGAATTCATTCAGCCAGGATTTTAGAGGCAGGGCTGCGATTAGGCTGTGATTTCAACCCAGGGTCAGGATATTGTAGTTCCTGGGATAAAGTGATAAGAAAATATCAGAAGTTTGACTGAGGTCAAAGTCACAGACCCTGCATCTAGGTCCATAACAAAAAACCAGGAGGCGCCGGCATTAGTGAGAACAAACACACAGGCTTGTCTTCATTTCCGGTCCGGGTGCCTTAGAGGGCCAGTGAGCTGCCTGCCCCTATATTATAGCACAGAAACTCCTGGACCAGAAGGCAGAGTTCCAGAGGTGACAGAGGAGGCACATAGCAAGACCACAGCCTTCACGGCCTATGTGGGGAGGGCACGGAGGAACACAGCCTGAACCAACCCACTCACAGGAGTAAATGCAAAAGTGAGTGTAGATAAATACAAGGCTGGGCTGCTGTTGACAGGCCTAGAACACACGTGGAATGGAAAATCAGGGCGATGAATAAATACAGCCCCTGAGACTAGCAAGTGAACCGTCTTCCATCCCCTCTTCACGCCCCCCCCCCCCAATCCCTCACCAACCGAGCATCCTGGAATATTCTTCCCGCCATCTTCTTTCCTTGATTACAGGGTGGTAAAGCCTTTTCCTTGGGCAGGTGGGTAATTTGGCTTCTTTTTTCCCCTCCCTTATGCCCCTCAAACAAATTAATCGTGTCATTTGCCTGAAATAAGAACACATTTATGCCAGATGTGTCCCTGGTCACCTATCTGGCACAGGGCCTCTTTTCTTTCCCTAGCCCCTCCTGCCAGCCATGAGGAGCTGGGAGGGCCCACTGTGGGCCAAGTATTTGAACTGCTTTACACGGGGTCTTTCAGCCCAAACTCTGATGGAAGGACTGGATTCTTACCCCTGTATTCCCCAGGGGCCCTCTGCTGCTGGAGGCCATCTGCCTCCTGTAGGGACCCCTGAGGGCAGAGGTTCTCGCTTTTCTTTGAAGTCCAGGCAGAGCCGACCCTCTCCCTCTTCTGCCTTCTTTAACTACACATGCCCACTCACTTCTGGGCTGTGATGTCCTTGCCATGTCCCTAGCAGCAGTGCAGAGGTGGACAGCAACTGAGTCTGGGGAAGCGGGGTGGGAGAACAGGACAGCCATATCTCCAAATAAAGAGCCTGAGACATGGGTAGGAAATCCGGAATTGACAGACCAACATCATCCAAACTGCAATCCATTTGCTGTGTGACCTTGGGCAAGGCCCTTAACTTTTCTGAATCTTTCTTTTCTGACAAGGGCAAAAATCACATCCAAGGACTGCCTCTACTGTGGCACCCCTAGAACTCTGGGGGTGGGGCACTTGAAACCACAGAGGCTGCGAGAGTGAGGCTTGCCACTGCCTTTAATTTGAAGCAGAGATGGGTCCGCACCAAGGCTGACTTCCGGGCTCCTGCCTTCCTTCTCCAGGTTCTCACCCCCACACCTGCATCCCAACCATCTATTTGCATCTCAGCTGTCACACAGGACAAAAAGCAGCTGCTGCTGACTCCAGCCCACAGCAGCTCTTTCTTCCCTGCCTTCCGGAGTTTTCTAGAGCCTGGCAAAGGTGAAGAAATCACCTGGAGACTAAGGCTGGGAGTCCTTGAGGCTAGCCAGGGCCCATTTCTAGACCCTGGGCTATGGGGCTCGGTGCACTGGAACCTGAGGGGCAGTGATAGCTTCTGCTAAATCTTGGATCTGGAGGCACTGGAAGTACTGCTAGCCTTTCTGAGATAAATTAACATCCTAAGTAGGAACCACTGCCACAAAGTTCCCGCAGAGGTCCCCTGCTTCCTGTTCCCCTTTCTGTTTTCATGGTCACTCTCTACTGCCCCATAGTGGACTGCTGAGGTCAGTCTGTCCCAGGCAGCCTCTATGACCTAGCCTGGAAGAAGTCCATCTTCTGGCCGTCCTTAGCATCTGTTGGGCAGATACTGAGCAATGCATGTCTCTATCCATAGAGCTCTGGATAGAGTGTGAGACATGACCGTCTGCTCATCAAACCCATTTTGGCCATGGCCTGTGCATCTTGCATCCTGTAGCTCCTACAGCCTTCAGACCCACCAGCGGGACTACCAGTCAGGATTTGGGGAGGCTGTCACACTCATCACCATGTGACTACCACTGTGGGGACAGCCCAAGACTGCCTACGGTTCTGTAGCACCTGTGACAAGAGGTCTGACTTCTCCTGAGTTCAGATTTGCTCACTTTGGCCAGAAAGATGGCTTAGCCAGTAGAAGTGCTTGTCACTAAGGTTGATGATCTGAGTTCAAGTCTTGGATCCTATATTGTGGAAGGAGAGAACTGACTCCCCAACGTTGACCTCTGACTTACAGATGTAGCTCAGTGCACCCACCCCATTCCCACTAAATAAATAGTCAAATAATTTGCTTTGTGGTCTCTACCCTATGGCTGTTCCTCATCTTCCTGCACCTAAGTACTGCTGATTGAGTTGGCTAACGCTCAGCCAGAGCAGGACTCCCATCTGGTAACCTGTCAGAATGAGCTTGTGCCTTAGGGTTAATTTGTTACTACAGCAGAGTTGGACAGATACAGTATCATTCTTTCTTCCTAAACACAGGAGCAGGGGTGGCTCTGACAGGATCATTAACACCCCCTAGGCCACAGAGCTAGTCAATGGGGGCTTACCCTCAGGTCCATTGGGCAAAATGCCCATGCTGTCTCCAAAATCAAGTGCAAGCATCCTGCCTGAGTCCCAGCTCTCTTGCTTCTACCCCAGCCCAAACCTTGCACTGCCTGTGTGGGTCACAACCTGCTCTGAGGTCTGTTTCCAAGTTCTTGCCTCTGGGCCTCTATGGGGCACGAGTGTTCCTGCGTGCCTTGGCTCAATTCAAGACCCCTCTCCCCAGAGAGCCTTCCTGATCCTCTAGCCCAGGAACCCCTCTCTCCAGCTGATCACTCATGGCCTATGATCCCTGGGCCTTGGATGCTACTACAAAGGTACAGGTGTTTCTTGTTCCTCAGGTATCACTATTCCCCAGAAACCTAGAAAGGACTTTATTCTGAGGCTCTCGTGCATAGTATATGTGCATGCACATGCATGTGCGTGTGTGTGTGTGTGTTGTGGAAGCGCACTGCAGTCACTTCCGACATTCCAGGGGGTACTGGATGAAACACTAGAATATGAGAAAATGATAGAACTGCTTTTCAGCATCCTTAAGCAATAGGAGTTGGCAAGATGAGGGTGCCAGGTCCCCACATGAGAAAGGAATAACTATTACACCAGAAGGAGTCAGCCTGCTTGTTAATATATATTTTGGGGGTATGGCAAGGTCTCAAGTAGCCCAGGCTGCCCTTGAATTCACCGTCAAGCATGACCTCTGAACTTCTGATCTACCTTCTTCTACTTCCTGACTCCTAGGATTATGGGCATGTATGACCACACTCAGATTATGTGATACTACTCACTGAACCTGGGGACTTGTGTGTGCTAGGCAAGTATTATACCAGCTAGGCCACATCTCTAAGCCACCTCTGCTTTTAGAAAAGCTTACACTTTTGCTGCAGCTATTTAAAATAGCCATACTACAGGCCACTTGGAATTGGGACCCTTTATACTTGTTCCCAGTAATCAGTAGAGGCTTAATATGTGCTTTGCTTATCTCCGATAGGTTAGGATGAATGACTCAGCAGGAGATGGAAGTGGGACACACACACACACACACACATACACGGAGCAAGATACCCATATAGCTTGGTCCTGGTGAGTGTGTCTAGCTGGGAATAGCCAACTGGAGCTGGTGAGATGAGGGTAGCAGGTACTGTGGGAAAGGGATATTACACTAAAAGCAGGAATCAGTTTTTATACAGCCTCTCTACCCTAGGTGTAAACATCCAGGCAGGACACAGGTTGGTGTATGTTTAGAAAAATAGCTATATTAATGTATGTATTATAATATCCATTTTGAATCAGTCCAGTGGCTATAGATCCATACATATACCCCCCCTGGTGTGTGTATGTGTGTGTATGTGCATGAGTGTGTGTGTATGTGTGTGTGGTCACACATTGGAAGTGTGAGCACGGATGTCCTCCCAGGGTTTAGATGACAGCCTATAACAGCGTAGAGATTACCACACAGCAGGAGAGGGTGCACATTAATGGCTGCTTCTATTTCTCCACTGAGGACCCAGAATCCCAGAGACTCCTGACACCTGTCCTAGTGCTGCACAAAGCAGTCAGAGCGGCGAATGCAGATGGGCCACGCGCTCCAGCAACTCACCTCATCCTTGTCCACCACCTGGATGAAGAGCGGGAGGGCAAAGCCGACCTGCGCCAGCTCAGTAATGGCCACGCTGTACTCAGAGCTGTTGAACTCCGGGGCGTTATCATTGATGTCAATCACCAGGATGTTGAAGGTTGTGGTGACTGTGGCATCTGACGGGGTTCGGTCATCATTCAGCTCAGTGCCCTGCAGACAGAGGAAGGCATCCACAGTCACAAAAAAACAGCTGTTACCCATTCAGGATGTGCTCGGCACTAGATCACGTGTATTGGTGTGAATTAGCACATTAAATCCCCACCCCCGGTCCCAGGAAGATGGTTCCATCTTCTGCATTCCATGTTACAGGTAAGGGCATCGAGGCTCAGAGAGGTGAGGGCATTTGTGTCATGAAGAATGGCCTGAGTAGATCTCAAACTCAGGCAAATGGGATTCTGGAACCATCTGGGAGGTGGTTAGGAGGATCGGACAGATTTCATACTGACTGAGGGGGGCAGGGAGAGACCGCTCAGCTCGGCAGATGGTATAATCAGGGCTTCTGCTTTGTAATACCCACAGATGGAGACTGACTGAGTCGCTGCTGTGGTCCTAACATCACCAGGTCTGAGAAGTTCTGAGTGAGATGCAGGAAGGATCTAGATGTCTGGAAGTCCACAGCCCCAGGTCTCAAAGCACCATTTCCTAGTTCTGATCCCAGACACTCTGAGAGAGAGCTGGGTAGCATCTGCCACCAGGCCCAGAGATAAAAGTGTCCAGGCCAACTGGCACGTTCAGCTAACATTGTGTTAAAGGTGCGAACCCTGAACTCTGGGGCCCCAAGTGAGATGCAGGTGGACCTGGGTGAAGGGGTGGGCTTTCTTCCTCTTTCTCTTCCCCTGAACTCCTTGGAATGAAGCAAAATATGAAGAAGGCCTGGGGTCGGGGTGTATGTGTAGCTAGGAATATGTGAGGGACACTGTTTCCATTTCCCCATGGCAGACTCATCCCTGTACCCAGGAGAGGGGAAGGAGCTGGTGAACCATGAGAGTCAAGAGGCCCATTGCTGCCTCAGGACTTCTCAAGGCCAAGGGGGTCCAGGCAAGGCCAGCCTGTGCCCATCCCTTCCATGCAGATCTTTCTCAGGGCCTCTTGCCTACCTTAGTCCCTCCTGCCACTGCTATATGCCTGGGTTTTTGGCAGCCCTTGTACCCTCCCCCCAGGATCCACTCCCCAGCCTTCCCAGGGAACGGCTCAGCAAGCCATTGATTTCAATTAAAACTGGCCATGAGTGGCAGGTAGCAGCAAGGGACAACAATGCTGGCACCTTTTCCACAGCTTCCAGGTGGAGACCCCAAGCTCCTAGCCCTTCTCCTACAGCCTGCTGTTGGCTAAGCTGGGGTAGCATCACCCCTAGAAGGGATATAGACGTTCCAGCTGGTGCAGGCATTGTAGTGTGTGTGAAGTGCAGGGCAGCCTGGCATTTACAACCCCAGTCCCCTTTGGACTGTTCTCCAGTCCCCTCCAGACTGTCCTCTGAACTGCCATGGATGGCCTCAGGCTCCACAGTTGTCTAGAAGGTGTGGTATCTGCCCAGGGTTCTCACCTTCACTGTAAGGATGAAGCCATGACTGTACAGGGGATTCTCCCGGTCCAGCAGGCCATTCAGGGTGAGAGCCCCACTGATGTAGTCCAGGGCAAAAATGCTGTTGGTATTTCCTGCAAGACAGAATCCCAGAGCCATGAGAGGCTGGCAGAGAGGTGTAGAGTCAAGGCATACACTCCTCTGCAGGGGGTCAAATTCAGTAGACTCTGACAAGGGTAGACAGCCTTGAATCAGAAACAGATTACAGTACCCTCCCGGGGCTCCACCTTGCCTCTCTGAGCTAGTCAAAAAGTCTCCTTTCGGTGCTGGCAAATATAACACTGAATATTATTTTTTCTTTTTTTTAAAAAAAATGTTTTTGAGGCAAGGTCTCAGGTGTCCTAGGTTGACCTTGAATTCCCTATGTAGCCAAAGATGGCCTTGATTTCTGCTTCCACATCTGAAGTGCCGGAATACGGGGTGTGCTGCACCTGGTATAAGCAGTGCTGGGGATCAAAGACAGGACTCACACATGCTAGGCAAGCACTCTGGGCCATGTCAGGCCTCGTTTTCCTTTCGAACAGAGCCTTCCAAAGAGGGCAGAATCCAGGCAGGACAAAGTAGACATGCTGGGTTCTTTTGTGATCATTTTTCATGTAAAATTATTATTATTATTATTATTATTATTATTATTATTATTATTATTATTATTATTCTCATCATCATCATTCAGTCTGTGGGTATAGTCACACACATCATGGTGTGCATGTGGAGGTCAGGGGACAAGTTTGTGAAGTCGGTTCTTTCTGTCTTTACACGGGTTCTGGGGACTGAACACAGCTAGTCGGGCTCATCAGGCAAGAGCCTTTACCCGTTGAGCCATCTCACTGCCCCATTTTGTGCTCATTTTATGGTTCTATTCTATTCTATTCTGGTCTATTCATTCTATCCTGACTTTTTATGGCAATGGTACGAGGGTTTGCTTTTTTTTTTGTTAAATGATGAATATGTTAAAACATAATTCAATTTTAAGAAATATTCTAAGTACTTACTAAATTAGAGACACTTATTTAAACTATTCACGAAAATTATACATGAACAACTCTGGCCTCCTGCCGAGGCCCCGAAGCCTCTATCCCTCCCCTGCCAACTGGGCTTCCTGCTTCTGTGCTTCTGCGCTGTAACACCCTTCCCCCACCCCAACACCTCGGCTTCCTTGGGCTCTGCACGTGCTCCTTCCTGCTCTGGTCTCTCATTCCCTGGCCTCCTCTCTGCCCTCATCTCTCATCCTTCCTACCAAGCGGTCCTCCCTGCCCTTTCTCTTCCAGCTGATGGTGCAGCCTGCTCTCTCTGCCCCACAGGCAATGGTCCCTTCTCCTGGCTTCTCTGTGTGCCTCTCCTTTGCCTGCCCAGGCTATGAACTCCCAGGCGATGAGGACTTTCCATAATTGTCCACTATGACAGCACACGTTGGCACATTCTGGTAGCAGGTTCTGTATGGGTGTCTAAGGCCACCTGGGCCAGCCCTGGGGGACTGCCATCCACTCCTTATGCTCCTGCAGCCAGGCTGGGGTCTTCACTAACCAGTTGGTCTATTTATTCACAGACCTGCTGTATCCACTCTCAATTTTGCAGTCCCTAGGACAGGCCATCCTGTGGACAGGCCTGAGCTTGGCTTTGTGGGCTCAGCTGTCTACAAGCCAGGGATTCAGGCTGAATGAAGCTGCAGCCTAAGAGGGAGGGAGCACGTATCACTCTTCCCCAAACCAGGCTCCTGAGGGCACAGCAGGCCACACTGTTCACAGATGAGAAGGCTGAAGAGAGAAAGCAGCTCGGAAGAGGAGCATCAGTGCCCCCTGTGCGGTCCTGGACCACTTACGTAACCCCTCGGTGCCTCAGCTTCCTTCTATAAACAGGGATAATACCAGCATCTACATTGTGAGGATGAAACGAAGAGATGTGTTGCCTTGGGACAACAGCTTGGTTGAGGCTGTTATGAGCAGGGCAATGGGGTACAGGCAGGACCAGGGAGAGCATGGGCCGTCCCTGACTCTAATGGAGGGAAACAAGGAATACCTAAGTTTTCAATACACACGGAGTCCAAAGTGGCCCTGGATGTGGTAGCACTTCCTGCCCTTTCCCATCCCCACTCCAAGGAACCAAGGATGGAAAGTCCTAGGTGAGATCGCTTCTCCTCCTAACTTTACGATTGCAGGACTGGGGTTGTTCCCAGCCTGCTCATGCAGACAGCCAGGAGTCCCTCCAGTTCTGTCAGCCGCTGTAGGACTATGGATCCCTCTGGGCTGCCTGTGGCTTTGGAATCTGGATCTGGCTTCAGTTCTGCACGTGCATCCCCACGTGCCCCTGCCTAAGGTTCCTCTGACAGAGCAGACTGATGGGTGTGTACATGTTTGTGTAAAAAGGACTACCATATAAGGAGACAAAGACAGGGGCTGTAGCAGAGGAGTTTGCTACAGGAAATGAGGGACTGTGTGCTCCCATTTTCCTTCATTCATTCATTGACCCTCAGGTTATCACTAATTCATCCCTTCATCCATTCAAAGGACTACATGCTCTCCATCCATCCATCCATCCATCCATCCATCCATCCATCCATCCATCCATCCATAGTACTGTATGCACTCATTCTTTCTTGGCTTGCTTCTGCTTTGTGTTAGGGGCATAGTCCTGGGAGGAGCAGTCTTAACCAGGTCCTCCTAGCACAGCTGACCAGACAGGACTGGGGTGGGATGAAGACAGGGTTACGTGGTTCTTGGAGGGGGCTGGCCCTCCCCTGTTCCTGCACAGCTCACACAGGCTCTGGCATCACTAGGCCCCCATGGCCAGCATCCCATCACCCCAGATTTTCATATCCATTTATTCTTTCCAATAAAGGAGCCTGTGAAATGTTTAACTAAATGTGATCCAATTTTGATCTTTGTGAGATTTCACCATAAATCATTCAGAAACCAAGAAGGCCTCTCGCTGAATAGCTTGCTTAAAGTTTAGGTTGGGGAAATAGGGCTACTGAATCCAGTACATTCAAATGAATCACCTCATCCAGTACCTACCCCTCTCCGTTCATGGTCACACTACCTTCTGAACCTAAGACACACCTCCCCCAACCTCAGCACCTTCCCCACAAGTTTACTGACAAATACTGCTAACTGGGTATACCCAAATAAACTTGGGGGACCTTCCCCAATACACACACGCAAACACACACACAAACACACCTCCACCACGCACACACTTTTTATAGCTCTGTGCAATTATCTTCCAAGATCCCAGGACCAGCAGGCAAACCCAGCTACACCCAGCGAGCTGCCAAGGCCACCTGAGTGAGGCGCTCACTTGGCTGCTGCCATCGTCACCATGGCAACGGCAGCACTTGCTAGGATGCTAAGGGGCTTGGGCACTGACTTGAAGTGAGCCCTGTGGAGGAAAGGTCAAGGGCATGCTCATTAATTAGCTCATTCAGGTAGCCCCTTCAAGTCCATACTTGAGCCCTGACAATGGGCGAGGTACAGGACCATCGGCAAGAAGTTCTGCCTTCCGTCTATAGCAAGGACTGTCCTTCATGGTACCATCACACTGTTGACAGGAGGAGCTCTCAAGGGGCTCGGGCTCTAGAGGAAAAGCGGTAGACTAGAGGAGGTTGCCATCATGCACTCCAGGGACTTACCATACTGGAGAGAATAGTGGTCCTGCCGAGGGACCAGCTACCCGAGGGTTGCTATGGGGTATGATAAATTAAGACACTGCCCAGACTACTGGAAGCATCCACAAATGCCAGCTGCCCATACGGCACTAAAATGACTGCTGTGATTCCTGTTCAGTACTGGGCACCATCCAGTAGGGCCCTTTGCCTGTCCCTGTTTGCCCAATGGGGACACACTCTTGATGGCAAATTTCACATCTAAGGCATGTGTTGACAGGTTGGTTGCTATGAGGAAGAGGCTTTGACCATATCCTCCAGATCTACAGGGCATCACGTCCCAGCTCTAGCCTCTGTCCCAGCTATCACTGGCTCCCAGGGACTATGAGCTCTGCACGCGCGCGTGCACACACACACACACACACACACACACACACACACACACACACACCTTTTTATCCAAGTCCCACGGGGGTCTAGAGGACTCAGGTCACCCATTCAGTCCCACTGCAGAACAGGAAGGAAGCTGTCTCCCTTGTCAATATGTCCCAAGTGAGGGGTACCCCTGGCATGGGTGAGGCTCTGGGATGAGAGACGAACTGCACCCTGAGGAATCTGGATTCTAGTGACTGTCAGTCTAAATATCACAAGAGAAGACTGTATCACTGTGGGGCCCTCTGGCTTTTGGGGGGATAGCCACCCCTTTAGAGCTTTGGAAATCTTAGAAGACATGACTCACCTCTCCACACAGAGGAAAAAGCTGGGGCCAGGAGACACAGACTTTGGTCTCCAATGTGTTAAACAGTGAGAGTGGCTCAAAGAACATGTGTCTGTCACCAGACACTGAGCTGGCCTCACTGTCATTACCCATCCTTCACTGCGACCACCCCTGCCACCCTATGAAGAGAACCCCATTGTTTGTGAGAGGAAGCATGCTCTGGTGTGAAATGCCTTGCTCCATGTACCTAACCAGCCCAGCTCATGTGTGTGACTCTTTTCACATAAGCCCTACACAGACTGCACCCACCTTGTGCCCAGCCACGTATGAGGGGACAAAGACAATGGCAAAGCAAAAGAGGTCATCATCATTCAGAGTGAGGGGGTCCCTGATGTCATTCAGGAGTCCTGGGAGGCAAAGGACCAGCATGATCATTTTCAAAGGGTGATACAGAACTGTCCAACAGGCACATGGAAAAATACCGAGCACCTCTGACAGCTAGGGAATCCGAGCCCGGCCATAGCCAGCTGCCACCTCACTCTAGTTAGAACGGTGGTTATCAAAAAGACATGATACCACGTGGTGACGAGAAAGTGGAGAGAAAGAGAACCCCCACACACTGCTGGGGGGCATAGACCAGTACAGTCATAATGGAAAACAGCGTGAAGAGCCCTTTACAAGCTAAAACTAGAACCCCACAGGACCTAGCAGGCTACTGCTACTGAAAGAGATGGGATTGGTGTGTCCAAGAGAAGACC